AAAAAAATGACATGAAAAAGAAAGAAAAACAGACAATCCCATTTTACATAAATTGAAAACAAATTAAAGAAAACATTTTTATTAGCAGAAAAAAGGCATTTGGGTGTTAAATTATACCTCTGGCGATGGGAGAAAAGAGGGTATAAGAGGAAGATGAGAGGTGAAGAGGGATTGATAGGCTGTGGCAACACCCTCGAATGCAGGTGTTCGGTTCTACAATTTCCAAAACCATTTTCTTCTTCTTGAGTTGCTGCTATTGATTCATTAATTTTAAGGGACGAATCTTGAATTACTGGTAGTTTATAAATTTCAATACTACTTACACCCGTTTGGCCCACATTTTCTGAAAAAAAAAAAAAGAGTGAAATAATATTCTTTTTGAAAAATAAATGATTAAAAAAGAAAGAAATTTTTTTTTATTTATGTGTAATATTATTTTATGAAAAATTGTATGATTAATAATAAAAAAGAGAAAAATGAAATGAAAATTAATAAGGATCAAACGGGGCTTTAATATTCAGCCCCATTTGATACCTATTTTTGTAAGGACGAGATAGAAAAATATAGGCAAAGAATGAAATCTAAGGGGGCTAAAACTACATTTTCTATATGGGTCATCCAACTTTATAATTTGTATTACTATGGCCACTCAATTTAATTCTATTTCATCATAATCATTCGATTTTATACTTAATATCACTATGATCACCAAATTTGATTTTATTTAACAATAGTGATTCAATTTCATATGATATTTCATCTGATCACCCGACTTTTTTCACCATTTTTACTAATTTTAAAAAGAGTAAAATAGTATCTTTTGCATTATATATATATATATATACATACATATAATAAATTTAAAAAAACAAAATTAGAATAAAAACTTATTTTAATATAAATTAAAATGATCTCCTATATACATATATACACCGGTACTTAACTTATGTTAAGCACATGGGACCTATCATGAACTTATTCACCAATTAATTTTTTTTTAAATTATCGCAAGTATACGATTCGTTAACAAGTAATAAAGTGGATGAATTGAATACGAATATCGTCAAACAGAAATTGATTGGTTTAATCTTATTTATCGTACCCTTAACCAAAACTAAATTACTCAAAGTGAAATTTTTACCTAAACGAAACCCTAATTTGGAAAGAAAATCCTAATTATACAAAATTGGTTATTGAAATGAACTCAATATACAAAACGATGTTTTAACGAATTAAAATGCAAATCAATTGTTTAGAACGCAAATTGGTTATATTCAATGAAAATTAAACTCAATAGGATCACGAATTTCCATGCAATGATACCCTAAACCCTAATTTCACAAAATGACAACGCGATTGAATTGTTGATGAATAAATGCTCCTAAATCTATTCAACACTCTTTCTTGAAATGTATTGAACATATTCTTATACACCACTAGTTTATATCTCCATGACAAATGTATATATAAGAATGTATGTGGTTTTATGAACATTTAATGATTCACGCAAAGTATAGGGACATATCTCTATCCCCTATCGGACCCTACGATGATTTATACCTTATCAAATTTATTTCTTTTCTCTCGAACAGATAAAATAAACCACCAAATATCACATAATTGCGTGCACTTAATTATAGAAGAAAATTAATGTATATAAACCATTCAAACATTCAAATACGTGTTTAATGTTAAATTGCAAACTAGATATTTAAAAATCACATCACATGGTACATTGATCTCCTAGTATATGAAAATCTAGCTAGACATGATAGGAAAAAAAATAACAGAAAAAATAAGGAAAATAACATCACCCAATCCTCGTTTGATTTGAAATCTTAAATCTTGGAATGAATCATCTCGCTCTTGCCTTATCTTTTCTCTTCAATTCCTCCCAAAATAATGTATAATGCGTGATCTATGTTTAGGGACGATCCTAGGATTGTAAAATATCTCCCAATATTTGTTTTCATGAGAATTTCAGTTAAAATAGGAAACCAAAAATATTTCGCTACGATTGGCCTTACTGTCACTTAGGCAAAACCCGAGCAATTGCCCAGGCCAAAATTTTCTTCTTGGTAATTGATTTTTGACGTTGGGCAGTCGCCCACTCTAAATGACTGGGTTGTCGTTTAGTTATAAAAAAACTCCCGAATGTTGTATTTAAGCTGTGGAAGTCGATTCTTGATTCGTTCAGGTATTTTTTCTTGCATTTTCAACCATTTGACTTTTAATTGCATCCAATTGAACCCGCGACATCTTTAGTCTTCATTTTGTGGTCCGAAACAACTATTGAATTGTTACAATTTAGTCCTCGTACTTTGGATTTCCTTTTTGATTATTTTTCGTTTCTTTTCTCTTAAATTCCATCACATTTATCAATATAGTCCTACAAAATATAATTACATAGAATTAAGTCACAATTTAAACGCTTTGATCAACAATTGTTATGTTTTGTGGCCAAATAAGTGTGTAAAAACGCACTTATCACTTAACATAAATTAAGTATCGGTGTTTAAGAGATAATATGTATGTGTGTGTGTATAAAATTAAATTAGTTTTATAATAATAGTTTGTAAAATATACAAAGTAATACATATTATCAATTAGGTCAAAAAAGTTTTAATTTCAAAAAGAAAAAGAACTCGTTAGTTTCCTTTATTTTATAAAAATAATAAGTATGACATTCATTTGCACTTTACAAAGGTTAGGAAATAGTTGGAATTTTCCTAATTAAATTAAGGAAATATTGGTCATTTTTCATTAAAAAAAAAGAACCAATTATGCACCAAGTTCATAAATTAGGACATTCGTGCCATGAAACAAGGAGATCGACAAGTAAAGTGGGCTAACGTGTGGAAAGCACTCATCAATCTCATCAGGTTGGTCATGCTTTTAGTCTTGGAGGTCTTGTTTTAATTCAGTCACTCCTGCCTATCTATAATCGAATATATTTTAATAAAGTCGTTTATTAGTAGCTTGAAATAGTGAAATGAAGTAGAGTAGTTAGACAATTTTATAATCACCAATCATAGTTGAACATGCGTTAAAAGTGATTTGGAAATGCTTTATACGTGCTATAAAAATAATATTGCAAGATGTGAAAAAATAAAAAATAATTTATGCAAATTGTTTATGTGGAATGAACTCTTGATTCAAATGAAAGAAAAATCAATTTGTGAAAATAATTTACCTTTTTGATTTGAAGTGAACATTCAACGATTACTATTATTTCCTCATATTCATTTAATATGCATTGAATATAGCAAATGAAATTATTTATTATAGATATGCATTATGCCCCCGTTTACCTTCTCTATATCTTAATATTAATTGAACAATGTAATTGAAAACAAAAAACTCTAAACTTATTCATATTTATTCCAAAATTTTTTAATGAATTTAATTTACTATTCAATCCAATGAAATGATTCTGTTAAAATGTACATTGATTATAACTAAATAATTAATAGAATAATTCATGATAATATTGTTCAAATGATTAAATAAATCAAATACATATTGAAAAATGAAAAGGTAATGAATCCATCAAATATGGTTAAATAAATTAAATACGTATTGAAAAACAAAAAGTATATTATTAATGAAATGGTAATTAGCACAAAACGTTCTTATCTTTCAGTGTTATTGCGCGGAATGTTCTTACATTTAATTTTTTTTTGTTATTTACACTCATATTTTCAGATTTGATTGCAAAAAATGTCATTTTCATCTAATTTTCTCAATAAAAAAATGTACAATACAAATATACTCTCCTATTCAAATAAAACCAAAAAAAAAGAAAAAGAACAAAAAGAAAAGAATGTTAAAAAACAAATTACAATTATATTCTAAAACTTTTAAGAAACCTGCAAATGAGTCAAAATAAATTATTAAAAAGATAATTAACACAAATGCCCATATCTTTTAATATTATTGTGCAACATGTTCACATCTCTTTCTTTCTTTATTTTTTGACATTTTCACCCTTATTTTCACATTTCATTGTAAAAATCTTCATTTTTATCCATTTTCAATTAAAAGCTGTAAAATGATGAATATACACTCCTATTTAGATAAAACAAAAATAAATAACAAATTACAACTATATACTCGATTTTTTAAAAAAAAGTACAAATAAATAATTCAAAATTTTTTAAAAAAATCACTTTATTTTTTAATTATTTATTTGTATTTTTTCCGAAAAAATTGAAAGTATAATTGCAATTGTTCTTTATTTTTATTTTTTTCAAATAAGAGAGTATATTCATTATTTTACAACTTTTGATTGAGAAAATGATGATTTTCTCAATTTAATATGAAAATAAGGGTGAAAAAGTCAAAAGATGAAAGGTGGAGACGTTTTATATAATAATATTGAAAGGTAAGAACGTTTTGTGCTAATTATCCTTTTAATAATTTGTTTGTATTCATTTGTAGTTTTTTTAAAAAATTGACAATATAATTGCAATTTGTTCTTGAAATTTTCTTCTTCTTCTTCTTCTATTTAAATAGAAGGATATATTTGTTATTTTACATTTTTTTATTAAGAAATTGAATGGAAGTGACCTTTTCCTCAACAAAAGTTGAAAATAGAGGTGAAATGTCAAAAAATAAAATGCAAGAACATCCTGCACAATAACATCGAAGGTAAAGACGTTTTGTACTAAAAGTAAGGTATTATTGAAATAATTGGATTATAGTAAAGATAGAAACGTCCAAAGTAAATATTGAAAAACAAAAAG